CAAAGCTGGTTCTTCTAATTCCTCTTCCAACCCGAAGGATGCTGATTGCTTCCATTGCCATGAAAAAGGACATTAGAAACGAAGCTGCCCCAAGTACTTGCAGGACATAAAGGATGGCAAGATCAATCCCTCCTTTGCAGGTATTTACATTATTCAATCTAATAACTCATCACATGCTAATTCTTGAGTCCTTGATACAGGTTGTGAATTTCACATTTGTTTTGATTTTCAGGGAATAAAAAGAGGGAGATATGTGGAGCACAGGAAGATAAACTTAATCATGGGATGGAGTTTTGGAGTCGTTCGACTTAAATTCAGATGAAACTTGCGAATCTTGTTTACTTGGAAAGATGACCAAGTTTCCCTTCATTGGTACTTGTGAAAAGGGTGAAGGTCTGTTGGATCTCATACACATTGATGTGTGTGGACCATTCAGAATTGTCACAAGGGATGCTAATCGCTTTTATGTGACTTTTACTGATTATTTTAGTAGGTATGGCTATATCTACTTAATCAATCATAAGTCAAAAACCTTTGAAAAGTAGAAAGAGTTTAAGTAAGAAGTGAAGAATCAATTAGGCAGGAAGATAAAGATGTCGCGATCCAATTGAGCAGGAGAGTATCTTAGTATCGAGTTCATTGACTATCTTAAGGAATGTGGATTTGATTCAAAATTGATGCCACCTAGGACACCGCAGCTTAAACGTGTGGCTGAGAGGCGCAATACAACATTGCTAGACATGGTTCGTTCCATGATAAGTCAAGCTTCGTTACCTATCTCATTCTGGGGGTATACCTTAGAGACTGTCGCCCATATCCTTAATGTAGTCCTTACCAAAAAGGTTTTAAAACACCTCATGAGATGTGGACAGGGAAGGTTCCCTTGTTAGTGTTGGATTAGGTGTCAAGCCCATAACTATAATTGGTATGTACTTGAATTGATAGTAGCAATGTCCTTTTGGGTTGCCTTCAAACCTGGCAATTGAATAGGATAAATGTTGGAGAGAGAAGAATGATATATTAATTTATTACTTGGTTTATAAATTAATTTGAAATCAAGATAAATGATTTATGAATATATTATGGATATAATATATTAATTAGAAATCGTATTGTTTAATTAATATTTAATCATAATTTAATTTGGAATTAATTTTAGGATTAAAGGAATTAATTGAAATTGTAGGGACTAAAGGTGATAATGTTCAAAAGTTGAGCATTGAGCATTCTAGAACCTCCCTTAGAGGTGGGGAACGAAATCTAGAGTGTCTTAGGGTTTCCTTGGGCTCTAAGGGGGGCCTTGGAAGCCTTAGGGGGGAAGTTAAGGGATTAGGGTTTCCTTGGGCTCTAAGGGGGCCTTAGAAGCCTTAGGGAGGAAGTTAAGGGATTAAGGAAGTATGAGACTTGTGCTTTCAGTAGTAGGGGCCTATACTACCTTCCACACCTACCCATATTTGTCACAAGTATCACCACAACACCCTAACAATATATACAACTATACTGAGTGCTTAATCATCACCCTTGGAGGGAACAAATACCTCATAACTGGCCTACCAGGCTCTCACAACCCACCAATCCATGAAACTTCCACCAACCTTACAGCATAGTGTATGCTAGTCATACATAACGCTGAACCCTATAGACTTTCGAATATCTAATCCTACCCTAAGCCCCCAACGATACAAGAACAGAACATAAGGCCAAATCAAACATTCTCAGGCTAAAAGATCTTAATTATGTATAACCATGATGCATACACTAAATAACTACAGTAATGATGTCAATTTCATATCAGGAAAACCCTAGGCTATCAAGCATCATGTAATCAGGCAATTCTATCATGCAGTTCTTAAAGATCCCTAGCCTAGTACTACCATGTTGTTCTAACAAACAGTAATATCAAATAACAGTATGGTATTTTGGGGTCTACTTACTGGCTCAGGCTGATCGTACACTCTACATCCTCCTTTACTTTGAAAATCATTTTGAAATCATTTTTTAAAAATCTTTTTCCTTGATTTGAGACTGGATTCACACAAGTGTTCCTCCAATTCACTAAAATCAAGGCTCTGATACCAACTTGTAACACCCATAAAATCATGCCAAAATTTAGACTTTTAAAAACATTTAAAATGTCAATAGTTATTACAAAAAGGTATCTAAAACAGTTTCATATAAGAGTTCCCAGAAATCATAATCATAATTCGAGGAAAGTGTACGGTCACGCCTTCGCCTTCCCGCGGTCATTCGCCAAACCTGAAATAATAATCGATAAATGTAAGCTCGAAGGCTTAGTGAGTTACCCCCAAAATACCAATCTCAAATAACCATAAACATATCATATAACAAGCACAAAACAGCCGTGCATCTCGAGTCTACAAAGTGACTGGTCCGCTGCACCAGGCCTTTAGTTCACCTGGTCCACTCTCTGAGTCTAAAGTATGAATGGACCGCCCGTACCGTGCCTTCAGTCTATCTAGTCCATTCTCCGAGCCTCAGCACGTCTGGACCGCCCTCGCGGGGCCTTCAGCCTATCTGGACCGCTCGTTAGGCCTTCGACCTGACAATGTACCCTTCTGGGTTTGCAGTCTATCCGGTTCGCCCTGGGTATGTTGGCCTACAGTACAAAGCAGGACCCGCGCTCAACCCAACCCCAAACAAACAGCCATGTGCACATATAATAACTAATCACATAATAGTCCATATATATCAAACCGATCTAACAGATCATATAACATAGCAACCTCCGATCCCGGATGCTGACCTAACAGATCACTAACATAGTACCATGCTATATACCAAAATACCGACCTAAACCAGGTCACTAACATAGTACCATCCTTATTACCAGGACACCAATCTAACAGATCAATACGCATATCAAACCAATACAAGTATATAATCCGAGAAAGGACCGATCTTGGTTCCTTAGACCCTGTTGAAATAGTGAGGATAACTCACCTTGAAATGCCGATCTGAACTGAAGAAGCAGATTCCAGAACCACCGTCTCACCGACAATCCCGAACTATCCAGAATAGCAAATAATAAGTGAACACACGGGAGGATAAATCTTGACCAAGAATCACTCATACAATAATAGCCAAATTGCTTTCCTCTAATTTGGGGCCAAAGCCCAAAACCAAACCTATGATCCAAGTCCATATAACAAGGCCCAACATTGGCCCAACTTTCCAAACTAGGCCCAACTACCTATTTGGGCCTACCTCCAAGATCCAAAACCAAGACTTGGCCCGAAACATTCATTATGACATTTAAAAAAATCAAGTTATAACCCTAAACCAAAGGTACCATTGATGCAATTTATCTTTTTTTTTTAATGACATTTAAGAGTTATAACCCTAAACCAAAGGTACCATTGATGCAATTTATCTTTTTTTTTTAATGACATTTAAGAAAGGGACGATGAAAAAGCAATACAAAACGAATTTAACACACGAAACATTAAATAAAGTGCTGATTACAAAATTCCTTCTAACATCTCTAGGGATCAGATCAATGACCAGATGATCCATTACAGAAACAACTCAACAAATATATTAGAGTACAAAAAAGAGATGCAGAATCTTTTATCCATAAGAACAGATTATCATATACTCATTACCTACATAGACCATTCGATTAAAACCCACATACTCTTACTCACCATCATCACCATTGTCATACGCCATGGTGTTCTTGCTGTAACTCACATCGCGAACCCTCTGCCCCTTGTAAATCTCTTTGTACCCACTCTCCGGCCGACGCCTTCTCCTCCGCCGTTGTTCGGCCGTCGAACACCATCTGCTTGTCACTATAATTTATTCAGGATTTTTTCACGTAAATGCCTTTGCTTCCTCCCTTTCCCCCATTGAAGGCTACTGATACCGATGGGTTCATCGGTACGGACGCGATGCAACCGGAGGAACCGACGTTTGCCACTGATTTTGACGCGAAGTTTCCGTATTCTTTGGATCCTTTCGTCTTCCTCGGTGATCGGTAAGAAACATAAACAAAGTAAAAACTTACTAACTAAAGAAATAGCGAAACCCATGAACAAAAGAAAGAGTAGCACTAAACAATTTGACAAGAACAAACTGGAAGAACACTTGTACAGTGCTCTAAATCAACGAAGAACCAGTGAACAAAAACTATTACAAAATAAAAACTCACGAGAGAAAAGGATATGAGAGGAATTTTGGGTTTCCTCTGATATGAATCGGTTTTAACACGAGAGAAAACTTACAGAGTAAAACGCTGTTTTTAAGGAGGGGAGGGAGAAGAGAGGGAAGAAGATGGAAGGAGAAGAAGAGTGTAGTGACTGCATTCTCCATTTGCAAAGGAAAGAGAGGGATACTATTGTGAAATGACATTTATATCCCTGATTAAAAATGGGTTGAGCGTGTAACAATTAACAAAAAATGAAAAAATGAAGAAAGATAAAAATGGTCTTTAAAAACTAATGATCAATAAACTGGATCCGGATTGGATGACCCAAAGTCCGCGTGTTCCACACTTTTATTCTTTCTCTATGAGCTCTGCAGTCCACAAGAATGAACATATGACAATCAAGCCCCTCAACTTTGTTTTCCTGCACCAAACATACCAAGTAACGATTCCTAATATATAAAACAAATTATTTCAAACATTTTCCAAAGTAACCATCAATTTTGCTCTATTCACTATGAAATTCGTAGGAGAAATTACGAAACCACCAAAACAACCATTCTTGTTTTTGCGAGTTTTACTCAGCTTTTCTAAATTTGTAGTTTTACACGACTAATTAAAAAGCTCGAGAACGTAATTTTATGATATGCATGTATTTTTCAATTCTCTTTGTTTTGATCTGTTAAGCCTCTACTTGCTTCAAATGCTCCTCTATAGACCTGAAGTAGTACTTAATATATGAAATGATTAGAAAAACTTAATTTAGCTAATTAAAGGCGTGGTTTATACTCGTAGTCTCAAACTTTAATAATCTTTAGCTTGTAAAGATCCATTTGTATAATTGAAAAGCCAGTTATAAAATCAAAAGCACTAATACCCTTAGGGGGTGTTTGGATTGTATGATTATCTTCATAGGATTTTGAAATCGGCAAAGAATTTAGATTTAGGGGGTTTTAGATTTTGAAGAAATTGAAATTTGTTTGGTTTGGTTTGGAAGATCTACATTGAATTTAGTATAATTCACATTTTCATGTTAACTTCATTCAGAATTTAATTTGAGAAAACAAATTAATTTGAACGGAGATGTAAGAATTTACCAATCCATAACGTAAGAATTTAACAAATTAATTGAAAACACTTCTAATTTAATGTCCTTATATATATTTTTTGTTCCGGACATGGATTATACCGAATTTTATATCCAAATCCATTAAAATCTAAGAATTTAACCAATCCAAAACGTATTATAGGATAGCCAACTTTCACACTACATGTATCGTTGTATTATAAAATACAAGAAACCATTCAATCTCGACAAAAAATCACGAAAAAGAAACATAAAAATACTTCATCATGATGGTCGATGTTTCTTTTCAAATTGAAGGCTATTTCTTCGTTATTTACCTTCGCTATGATACTTCATCATGGACCATAGACTCATAAACTCTTTGATTGGCCTTCTTTGCCTACAAATTTAATAAGAAGCAATGCACGATTAAACAACATAAATGTTACATGTAGTCAAATTTCAGCTACATATCATAAAATATGTATAGTTTAAATAAAAAACGACTTAATAAGAAATTAAATTAGTGAAAGAAGGCTTTTTCCACTAAACATTAACTATTTTACAAATTTGCACTCATTTTTCCTTCCGTTTCTTCATAATATATGTTGTGTGTATCAAATATATTTTAAACATCATTTATAAAACCGAAAAAATCAAATAAGAATACCAACTTACTTCCTTTTCCCAGTTTGTGCATAATGTCAAAACATAAAGAAAGAACGCTTGAGCAAATAATGCCGCAATAATTCCGTACCATAATCCCTACATAACAAACATAAAATTAAATAAAAGAAATCTTTGAAAAAACATTAAAATGTGATCAAAGATGAAAATTTCACTACCTTTCCTCCCATGTGAAGTACAAAAGCAAACAAGATCGCTAAAGGAATCCCAATTAGATAATACGCTCCTAAGTTCACAATTGCACCAACTTTTTGTCGTCCACTCCCTCTAACCGCCCCTACCAATTTCAAATCACAATATATATATATATATATATATATATATATATATATATATATATATATATATATATATATATATATATATATATATATATATATAAACACAAATGGAAGTAGCCATCTCACATCAAATAGGCATATGATAGTTTTTTTCAAGAAGTACATGTATTTTTAACATGAGCTAATATGCCATTGAAATCTTTGCTGGTAAGATATATTTTTCCCAGAAAGCCCCAAAATCATATCTTTCTGGTTGAATGGGCTGGAAAAACAATTATACACCAAACCTCGTTTTTTTCTTTCTTTATTGGATTATTAATTTTTTTAAATAACTTTTTTTAAATTTATTTTTTATTGAATTATTACTTTTTTTCATCATTCAACACAGTCAATCAGATATACAATCAAACAGCATGGTTTCTTTCCTAGTCGGAAAACTTTCTCAGACAGCACTTTACCAATGAGTACTTTCCGAGACAGAAACTATCAAACGGAACCTAACTACGAAAATGAGAAGTTAATTGACCTATTGTCACCTGAAAGTACGGATTGGATGCCATCAACGAAATGAGATCCGGCAATAAGCAACATCATTTGTGCAATATAAGTCACCACCTCTTCTTCATTACTGTAACAATAACCCCATAGTTTTCTCCCAAAAATCAAGACCATTGAACCCAAAACCCCTTCAGTCACTACCGCAACCATTGCAACACGTATCGCTAAACGTGCTGCTTGTGCTCGTCCTGCACCTAATTCATTTGAAACCCTTACACTGCAAACAATTTAAAAATATTAAACAAAAGAATGTGAATTCCAACAAGTTTATTCGCGAAAAAAATCACCTTGTGGCACTACTTAGACCTAGAGGAATCATGTAAATCATTGAACACGTATTCAAGCTGCCATGAAAACTCAACTTGTTAGCCATAATAAGATTATAAAATTCAGAATATAAAGAAGGGCAAAAAATAACCAAAAAACTTTTTACCGTTTTCAGTCAAAAGACTTAAAAAAACATAATTTTCCTTTTCTGAAATAACATGAAGTAAACCATTAATGAACCTGATAGAAAGAACCGAGGTTTCTAGTTGAGGATTTGGAAGAAGACCAGATAACAACACCATCATCTCAAACGACCATATCTCCAAACTGTTCAAACAATTACATACTTTTAGAAAAAAGCTGGTGGATTCGAAAAGCTTTATGAAAAAAAATAAATTGATCATGAAAATTACCAGACCATAACTGCAGAAGGAACTGCAAGTTTCAAAAATGTCGGAATGTTAGAGAAAGCTTCTTTCGAGAAACCAGTCCAAGTCTTTTTACACGAAGGAGAAACCCGAACATAAATCGCCAACAACAAAACATTAACCCAAAGAGAAACAGCATTCGCTAATGCTGCACCTCGACTTCCGAGCCCAGATTTAAACACCATAATCCAGCAAACAAGAACATGAACAAGCGTTGTAATCCCAGTGCTTAACATCATCGGAACGACATTGTTTTGAGATTGAAGAAATCGAACATGGCATTGAAGTAATGCGTTTGCAAAAAGACTAGGGATCATGAATCGAGCATAGAGTCCAGCTTCTGCTGAGATTTCAGGATCTTGTCCTAGGAGAACAAGCAAGGATCCTGCATTTGCCCAAATGAAAGCAAGAGGAATGCTCACTGATAAAAGAACAATCATCGCTCTCTGCATATGGATTCCGAGCATGTGATATTGTTTTGCGCCATATGATTGTCCACAGAATGTGTCTAAAGCACTCCCCATTCCAATCTGTTCACCATTGAAACAAGAATCGAACTGGGTTTAGGAAATTGGTTGATATCTGCAACACCATGTAAACAAGACGATGAAATGAAGGAAGAAGATGAACTAACCATCAAGCTTGTACCAGTGACGGAAGCAAAAGAAGTCGCCATTGAAGCACCGGAGAGAGCGAGCTCACCAAGGTGACCCACAAACATGACGGAAATCATCGATAACCCACAAATCAATAGGTTTATTGTTATCAAAGGCCCTGCTAAGTATAACTGCTTCTTAAATTCTGTCAATATCTCATCTTTAGTGTATGAATATGATCGAGCTCTCTTTTCTGATTCTTGATTCACATGATTACTCAGAAGTGGCGATGCAAGCCCTTCTTCCTCCATTGTTCTGGTAACTCTTTGGGAGACTACAAGAACAGGGTCGAATAAAGATACTGAAAAATATCAAAACGATGACGAATGGAGATAAAGATACAATTTTGTTTTTATAAACGATTTGAGTAGACTGAAGAACAAGTGGTGAGAGATGCTTTGTATGTTAGTAACAAAATCGTTTTTGGTTTCTTTTTTTATAATGGGTGGAAGTGTAATTTTCCACATTAGATACTTTTATAGTGGGATTTATGATAGTATCAGCAAGTATTTCCAGGAAAGTGGTGGGTTTAAAGGGTTTTTTGTTGACATTGAGTGGTAGCCAACTGGATATTTCTTGTTCGTAGCGGAATGAAGCAGAGCATCTTTCTGCATAGACATTCATTGTGTTTAATGAGATAACATTTTATATACATTCTTGAAAATTACTCTTTTAGTTAAATTACAAAAATGGCCCTTTGTATTTTTATGTTTTTTTTGTTATCTAGAGTTTTTTTTTTTTTTTTTTTTTTTTTAGAACGGCATGCATGAATTAAAAATTAAAACTCTAGCCAGAAGCTAGGAGGTACAAATAGTCTCAACAGCATCCTGCCATAGCACTCCAATATTGGGTCACAACACCACTCGAGCTACCTAAGCTTCCTTCCCTTCCGATTCCTCGCATTGATCCAAAGATACAAAAATGATTGTACCTCGAAAGCCAAAGTCGATTTTGAGCCAGAGGTTTGGTTTGAGCGGTGAGCCTTGTTGTTCCTGTATCTCCAAATTACCCATAAAAAAACCAACATTATAGCCTCATGAATCCTTTCCAGTGTATTATGACCCCCTAAAGATTCTTTACATTTTAGCAGCTCCCTACAGTTGCTTGGATAATTCCCCAATAACCATCACCAGCTACAAACCTGTGCCCATGCATCTTTTGAAATCGGGCAGCCCACAAAGATGTGGTCAACCGATTCTGTGGCTTCATGACACATTTGACATAAGTATGAAGAACTGATACCAATCTTATATAAATTCACCATGCATGGCAGCCTACCATGACTGACTCTCCAGGCTAAAATGTTTACCTTACCCGGGACAAGCGGGTTCCAATTCCAAACAGCATCACTATGGGGCAGGGTCCGGTTATCTATATCCTTTCGTAGTGAGGACACAGTATAAACACCCGAGTGATCAAGTGACCATGACCATTTGTATGAACCATCAAGATTTAATGAGTTTTGGAAGAAAGTAAGAAAAGGCACCTGATCTTTTTCTAAAACTGAAGGCAGGCAAGCAATCGAGCCCCAGCAGCTGCTTCTTCTTCTAACGGCCTTTGGCCGTGCCAAACCACCCTCTGAACCATGAATGGCTTGAATTACCAAGGCCCAAATGCTATCCGGTTGGGTTCTGAATCGCCACCACCATTTACCCATGAGAGCAATATTCTGGGCTTTCAAACTGCCAACCCCGAGTCCCCCTCTTTCTTTGGATGCTAGAATTTTTTCCCAAGCAACCCAGGCCATTTTACTTGCTTCCAAACTCCCGCCCCAGAAAAATTTCATCCGAATTCTTTCCAGGGATTTAAGTACTTTTGCAGGGGCCTTATAAAGCGAGAAATAAAAGGAGCCAAGGCTACTTAGAACAAAGTTTCATAGAGTCAATCTACCCCCAAACGACAAGGTGGAGGCTTTCCATCTCGAAAGTTTCGCTTGAAATTTTTCGACAATGGGCTTCCAATGAGTTTCACGAACCATCGACACACCAACTGGGAGACCAAGGTATGTAATCGGGAATGAACCGATCGAGCAGCAAAAGCTGCGAACCACCAAATCTAATTCACAGGATTGGACACCGAGCCCGTATATTTTGCTCTTTGACATATTAACCTTGAGCCCCGATGCTAGCTCGAAACACCGTAATATTCTGATCAGATTTTTAGTGTTTTCCAACGACCACGATCCCAAAAATATTACATCGTCAGCATACTGTAGATGCGAGATTGTTGGACCAAAATAAGGGAGCTGAACGCAGCAATAAACACCTTTTTCCTTTGCCGATTCTAGGGCTACATGAAGTCCTTCAGCGGCTATGATAAATAAAAAAGGGGACAGCGGATCCCCCTGTCTCACACCCCGCTCCATTCTGAATTCCTTTGTTGCTGCACCATTAATAATAACCGAGATCTTTGCTGAAGCTAAGCATCCACGGATCCAGGCTCTCCATTTATCCCCAAAATTCATTTGCTGCATGATCGACTCCAAGAAATCCCAGCTGATACAATCAAAAGCTTTTTCAAAGTCAACTTTGAATATGAACACTTTCTTTTGCATTTCTTTAACCAGCTAATTACTTCATTGAGGATTAAAGGCCCATCTAGGATGTTCCTATCTTTTATGAAAGCTGTTTGTTCTTTACTAACCACATGATGGATTACTCTTTTTAGCCGCTCAGCTAGGACCTTTGAAATCGTTTTGTATAGACATCCGATTAGGCTGATAGGGCGAAAGTCGTTTAGAGTGATCGGGTCTTGGACCTTTGGGACTAGAGTGATAAAATATGAGTTACATCCTTCATCAATGAGCCCTGTGGCTTCAAAATGCTTAACTGCTAGATAGAAGTCACAACCAATTACCTCCCAGTGCTTCTTTAGAAAAGCAAAAGAGAAACCGTCAGGCCCGGGAGCCCTATCCGAGCCACACGCCCAGATTGGTGATTTGATCTCTTCGAATGATAAAGGTTCGTTATCTACAGTTAAAAAATGATTTTTGTTCACTATAAATGTTATTCTCTTTGATTAATATCTAGCTAAAGGCTTGTGGGTATACCGTTATCTCCACCACATCCAAAATGTTGTTTTTGAGTGTCATGTCATCACCACTTCCACATGATATAATCATATTTCCCGTTATTTGACACACTGGTTGGTGTGGTGGTGATGCGGTGGAGGTCCACGACGTGTACACCAGGTCGCTTTCGGTTTCGGTGTGTGCTGACCTAGAGCCACACCAATGTTACAAAACTCGTTAGGCGTTCCCAAGGCGGCCGACTAACGCACAATGAGTATTTGGTCAAGGAGGAGAGTATTCGAAAAGTACTCGGATTGGATAAATTATATAAAATTAATTTTAAAAAACTATATATATATATATATATATATATATATATATATATATATATATATATATATATATCATATTTAACAAATTTATTAAAAATTATAACAAAATAGATGAATAACAATAACAATTATATATTTTTTTTCTAAAAAAAGTCTAAATTTCCATTTTTTTTTCCGATTTTGATCGATTACGAATTTTTTCGATTTTGACCGAGTTTGATCGATTCCGAGTTTGTTGCCTCACTCCTAATTAGGGGTCGCGACCCCTACCCGATTCTGATTAATCGTCCGCTTAAGTCGAGTTTTGGAACACTGAGCCACGCCACGTGGAATGGCCTAAGCCACAACCGCTAAATACCAATGTCTGTTCCTTGCTTTTCTCTCTTCTATTATCTTTGGTGTTTCAACATGGAGACCATACCAACAATAAGGTGGTGTGCATGGGACTTAGTGGGGGGCAAAGTGGGTAGCTACATAGGGTTCAAAATTTTTATTATATATTTTTATTTAAAAATATAAAATTATAATAAAGATAAGGGTTATTTTTTTCTTATTCATCCTGAACTTTTAAGAATATTTTATTTTTTAGGATCGATACTAATGATATGAAGGTGTGTAGTGGTGAGGTGGAAGGAGATCCAGACATACTATATTGCTATGTGACCCCATCGAATTTGCATGGTGCGTACATCCGCAATCATAAGTATAAAAGGTCTTGACGAAAATTTATTAGTGATATTATGAACAGTCGTTCCATCCTTTTTTGTGTGTTGCTAGGTATGTAATTTGCTATATGAAATTTCATTTTTTAGAAATCACTAAAAGAAAACCTTTACTTCCATTGTATCATGCATTTCAAAATCTTCTTTTTCAATCCATGTTGCAAATTTCTTCTGAGTTGATAAAGGTAAATGAACAAGGGTAGAACCAGTGTTGGCCTATAGGGCGGGGCAAGTTAGGTGACGAAGCCGTCGTCCGAGTATATATATATATATACCACCTAATTTGTCACACTCCTTTAAAATTCTGTCATTTATAAGGTGTAGGTTGTTACACTTGTTATGCTATTTTTTTTTAAATTAATTAATATAAAAAATAAACATTTCAAACATATTATTTTTTAAAAAACTAAAATTTCATTAAACTTGCAATGAAAATTACATGACAACAAAAAAAAATATAGAATTTCAACTTACGAACCTAGAAATTTAAATAACAAAACCATGAAAGTAAAATAACGAAAACTAGATGTTATAATTTTTTGCAACCTCGTCTTTCGCTTTTGTTGCAATTTCTTTTTCGCATCTGGTGAGATCGTTAGTGTCTCTCGTTAAGATCTTCGTAGCATGCTTTTTTTCTTTCTCTTGTGCAACCATCAAATATTGTTCCAATGGCGATTTCAAGTTGTCCATTTTGATTGTTAGTTGGTCAATGTCACCCGAACCACTTGTCGTCATTTTTCCCTTTCACTTTGACTTAGTATCTTCCCATGGGACGAATGGCTCTTGAACCTCAAAAGGCTCCTTTTCATTGAAGAAAATCCCAACATGTGCATTGGAAGATTGATTATGCGTCGTTTTGGATGTTTTGGTTCTTTTAGAAGAAATTAATTAGCCCACGCCAAATGATTTTAGCAGTAGGAAATGATAGAATGTTTTCGTAAGTATAATTAGAAACTCATAGGAGTAGACTACGTGTTTAGTTTAGTTATTCCATTAGTCGATAAGCTTAAGAATTAATAGAAAACTAGGATCGAATTCAATGTTTATAGGTTGACATAAGGCTCTAGTTAGACTTTATCACCTATACAATGTAGATTAAGGACCTATAATCGCAAAAGTTAAAAAAACCAATATCTGTTGTGATAAGTAGATATCAAGGAAGGAGGATGACTAGGTTCCTTTAGGACAGTCAAATAATGGTTGTGAGTCTTTAAGACCACTGAAGGGTTGACCGCGAGTCTTCAGACCCGGGGGATAATGATAACAACAATCTGACATCGAAATTCTAATAGTTGGATAAGTGTCACGACGTTCCCTAAATGAATTGCTCGAACAATAGTTGTACCTCCATATAGGTAATGTACTTAGAGCCTTGCGAGAGAGATATTAGGTGACCTGGTGTTCATTATAATCTAGTAGGCTGGAAGATAGGCAAAAATTATTTATGAGTCTGTCACCAATATTAGAGTATTGATTTCAAGGTTTTTAAGATAGTAAACCCGTTGTAGTAAATTTGGTTAAATTTTAGGATGATGGAACTCTTGAACTAGGTAAAAAAACCAAATGCAATCTAGATTCATGTGTGTTTTAAGATATGTCGTAAGACTCTTTAGTAACATGATTTGGAAAGTGGATTCCGTTAGGATGTCATAGATAAAACTCCATAGTTAATCACCTCATAACCAGTTGATGGTATCGACATTGTACATCTGAAGGAAATCGTTGAACGTTACATGTAAATTCTAGAAGTCCAGACCGACAAATTCTCAATTTTGGGAAGATTTCACACGGATTCGAGATTACGTATACGGTAGAAAATGAAGTTCTACGGCTAAATGAGTACATATGGACGAATTCATTGCGGCAATGTCGGCCAGATCTTAAGTTGATCTCATGAAACCCTAGTAGGATAATATATAGGCATTATCCTAAAGTGCCGTAGCCCGTAAGAGTAGGATTTCAGGGAAGAAATCTCTATAAGTGGGGGAGAGTTGTAAGACCCCATTTTCATATTACAGTATAAATGACCAATTACATTAAATAAACTTTTTGATACAGAACTATTTAGGATAAATAGTCTTGAAAAAATCATAGTAGTCGTAAAAGCGAGACCGTACACATTTAGAACGCCTAAATTTGACTTCGTATGAGGAAGTTGTGATTTTTAGAAGTTTCAGCGCATCAGTGCACAACACAGAAAACAAAATAGAAATCAACTGATTGTTAGGAAAAACAATCTAAACAAGAGTTGAAGATCTCATCCATATGATTATGTACATATAAAGACAGTCAAGAACAAAATTCATATGAGAGAGTAATGCTTTTCATACTGGCTTTAACAGTTTAAGTCTGTTAAAAATATAGCTTTAAAAATAAAGTGAGAATTAGTCGACAAAATCTAAATGAAAATTATAGATCTCATCATTAGCTACGCGTGAATATAAACAACGTAAAAAACGGAGCTCGTATGAAAAATATATTAATTTTGAAAATTTGTTAAATTTGCATGTGAGTTGGTATGCACCATTCCTTTCTAACATGATCCATTCCTTTGTCACATGCTACATGAACCCCAACTGCTCCATTGTGATCTAAATGCTCCATGTTGGACAAGACTTCATACCCCAACAACAAGGATAAAGGATTGAAGTGAAAGAATGCATGCATAACAATACTAAGCGGA